ATAATAATAAATAATAATAACAATAATAATAATAATAATAAATAATAATAAATAATAAATAATCTAAAAACCTTTTCGACGTTTCGGCGTCGAAAGTTGTTTCTTTTCCATATCATCCAACTGCCTTTGTAGTAATTTTTCCTTCTCTAATAACTTCGAAAATTTCGAATGATCCTCCTTAAAAACAATAATAATAATAATAAATATAATAATAAATATAATAACAATAATAATAATAAATATAATAACAATAATAATAATAAATATAATAACAATATATAATAATAAATCTATTTTACATGACAATAATGAATTATATTTATTCACATTAATAAAATTAATAATATACATTAATAATAATAAATATAATAATAAATAATAAATATGATAATAATAATAATAAATAATAATAAATATAATAATAATAAATATAATAACAATAATAATAAAAAATCAGACCTCAGTCCACCCCTTCTGCACCTCCCTCTCCAAGCAATCACGATGAAAGAAATGTCTGCACGCAAACGCAAAAACAGCCCTCGACAACGCCTGCTCATAGCACAGCGCACACTGATCACTCGCGCGAATTATTGTCGACCTGAAATTAATTTCAGGTCAACAATAAAAATTCTTATTACATAAATAATAATAACAATAAATATTGAACATACCTATTATTGAGTTTGCTCATTTGCTGTCGAATTTCCTCAGCGATATCTGTTGCCTCTTTCATCTCCTTTTGTAATTCCTCAATACAACAATAAAAATAATAATAATTATTTATTATTATACATAACAAATATTATTTATTATATATAATAATAAATATAATAATAAAAATAATAAATATAATAAACAATAAAAATAATAATAAATAATACCATAATCTTTCCAGAATGTTCCTTTAAACACGCACACAGCGGATCTTTAAAGTGCTCAATCGTTGTGAATTCCGGAAAAAATGGCAACAGATCCTGAAATATTAATAATAAATAATAATAAATATTAATAATATAAAATAATAATAAATATTAAAAATAATAATAAACAATAATAATAAATAACAATAAATAATAATAATAAATAATATATCACCTGAATTNAACAGACCTATTATTGAGTTTACTCATTTGCTGTCGAATTTCCTCAGCGATATCCGTTGCTTCCTTCATCTCTTTTTGTAATTCCTGAATACAACAAGAATAATAATAATTATTATTTATTATTATACATAATAAATATTATTTATTATATATAATAATAAATATAATAAAAATAATAATAAATAATAATAAAAATAATAATAAATATTACCATAATCTT